ACTCTATTGGATTTAATTTGAACTCCCAATTTGGAATCCTGGGTTCTACAGAAATTTATTATCATTACCATTTATGTAGAATTAAATTATCCCTCATTCCAGCATTGATTTTAGAGTTTAATTGAATTGTTCTGCTACCAACCAACCTGTGGCTTCCAGCCCTTCTCCCTGGGCTCCTTGGGAGCTATTCGCATTCTCTCTCCTGACAGCCTTAGCACAGTCCTGATCTCTGACACCTTTTCATGCTCCTCTTTTGCTAAAACTGCTGGTGTGCAGGCTGCACAGCTCTTCTGTACGCAAGAGATGATGGGCAGGCTGCAACATGGATGACTTTGCCATGAATGGCGTTAGCTGCTTTGAACGAGTAGCAGCCTTCTCGGGCCCAAGGTTGCCCCTCACTATTTTGGGGGTGGTCTCTAATGCACTGTTACGAATAAAACTGACTCATCCATCCTCTGCGAGTCAGCCACAGCACAAGGTCAGCTTACTGAGCAGACTGTTAAGTACCTTTCTCTTCTTTCCTCACCCTTGCACATAGCTGACTATTGAGATAAAAAAGCCAAGTATGGGGAAACTATTACACTACTTGCACAGTCTCCTACTGCAGTATGGTGTTAATTTGGGCTTCTATAGTTGTCTTTTTGTTCCTCCTCCCCACCCCTCCCCCTCAAAGACAAATTTAAGCACAACAGAGAAACATACATACAGAAAAAAGGCAACTGCCATGTGTTTCCAGGAAACTGTGGTGTAGAAAAGTTCTTTAGGAAGGCTTAACCCTACACACTTATTCTAATCACTGAACTCCCCTTGGAGTCATGCCTGATGTCTCTGCAGTCATGCCTGTACTTGCAGGTAACTAAGTGCATAATTTAAATGTGGTGGGTCATGAATGGCTGAAAAAAAATCCAGGAGTGTCTGAGAAGTGGCACTGAGCTGCCTAGAGATGTGTACAAACATTTGACATTTGAAGCCTAGCTCTGTCCATATATATTAGAAACAAATGGAAATAGAGGCTGAATTGATTCCCACCTATGCCTTGGAAAGCCTAGGAAGAGAGCTACCTGTGTCAGCATGCATGCACCACACAGCAGGGGTGCAGCCAGGACCAGATGGGAGGCAAACTTAACTGTTACCTCCTCTTAGTCCTTGAAAGTTAAACAGCCAGCAGATGAAAACTGTGTCGCAGGAACAAAACATGCAGAGGCAAGATGTTTACCTAGAGAAGAAGTTCATCAAGTGACTCAGCTGACTACACTTGGGCTTTTGCATTCCCCCATCCTAGGCAGAAGGTGAAGCATTAGTGCCACTGAAGTCAAAGGCAAGATTCCTAGCGACTTCTCTAACACCAGGATTTAAACCAGAAGTTTTTTAGCTGGGAGCACATGGTGAAGAAAAACACCCATGGATCTTTAAAGAGATAGTTGTTTTTCTTCACAAAGGAAAACATTATCTGTTTTGCCTCTGCAAGTGAGCCCATTCTCCCAGGAACAGAAAGTACATAAACCTGGGAGTTTTCCAGATATATATTTAAAATGTGAGACATCATGTAAATTTAATCTGTAAGTGAATTTATTCATGATATATTCTGAATATGCTGAAGAGAAACAGGTAACAAAACAGCAGAACTTCTTCCAGGAATAGCTGACTTCCCTCCCTCAGAAGCTTGTAGATTTTTTTACCATGAAAAGGAATTTCCACTAGACCAGAGGGAATCTGAATTTCCATGACAAGTTTTGTCTGTCTTGGCTATGAAAATGAAGCTCAGATTATCCACAAGAACCTAAAAGCCACAAGCATAATTAGAAATAAGATAGGCAAGACTGCCTGGTAATGCTGATTACCACCCACTTCAGGGGAGTGGTGTGACACAAAAGCTGAAACTATTAAGCTCTCAGGAGTGCACTGTGAAATATTTTAAAATAACCTCTAGCACATAATTGTGATAGGATAAACCACCAAGGTTTTACTTTATGAATCATGAAGTTGAAAGCATGTTATTAGAAATGTGTTATTGTGTATATATGCTGTATTTCGTATTACATTTGTTTGCCTCTGTTTTTAGTTTGACCCATACACATCTTTCCAGAAGCTTTATTTCTTTTCATTTTTAGATTTTTTATTTCTGTGTTTTCTAATACTCTTTGCTTCTCTTGTGGAAACAAGAAATAGCTCTAGTCTAAACAGAGATCTTAAGAAGGGCAGATTGGTTTTATGCTGTAATTTTGTTTTTCAAATCTGATAGTTTGAATTATTCATAAAATTTACACCAAAACAAATCCAGGCCCAGAGTATTTCCTTTAGAGTTGACCATCACTTGGCATGCATGCAATCTGCCTTTACTAATAAAAGTAGTCTCATAATATATTTGTAAGCATCAAAGAATCAAGTGGAAAAAGCCAGTGACAGGGCTTTATGTATTTGTATGCTGCTAGCTCAAAGGATGAGGTCTTTCTAAAGCACAGAATCTGTCTTTACACATTCTGCATGCCTAAAATATCAGTTGCAACTGATTGTTTTTTTCCCTTAACTGTACAATAACTTTCATTTGTATAAAACAAATGCACCCCTCTCCTACTGCTGAATTTCCATTTCTTTCTCAACCCCAAATCCTTTTTATACTTCTTTTGTTTTTCGTGTAGTATTTGAGAGCAAAACCAGCACCATTTTTAATGTATTTTGTAAACAAGAAGCATGAGTGGCAGAAAAAAAGCATACAAGAGGACTGAAGACATTTAGAGGAAAGAGGCTGAAAGCCTGTCTCCCATCATTCATTCAACCATATGTTCATGGAAACTAAAAGCTTTAAAATAATGTGCTGTTATATAAAATCAGATAGCCTTGGTTAGGCTGGCTAAGTTTTGTTTTTCAGTAGTTGGCTTTTGTTGGATCTTAATAGGAACTAACCTCTTGCTTACAAAAGCAATCAATGTAACAGTGATGCCAGTCAACCACACAGTGACCCCTCCATCCTTTACATTTGGGAATTTCTAATCCCAATAAAATTAACGTTGATCAAATCCCTTTTTATGAAGTAAAATTCAATCTCTGGTTCTCCTTGAGCCAATCACAGTGGAAAAGGCTAAGCCACCATTTCCTTTCGATGCTGTTGAAGTGCTCGTATCCTCCTGTGCTATTAGGCGCTGGCAGCTAGTTATAATTAGTGCAGATTGGATGTATACAAGGTGGATGTACACAAGAAACACAAGGTGTTTCTCTCCAGATACCATCCAAATTGCTGTCACCCTTTCACACAAGTGACCTGTATCCTCACTTGTGGTGTGTGAAATGGGTTCAAATCCTGCTAATGTCTAATGGGAGAGGACTGGTAGCTCACCAAAGACTTTTCTCATTCATCTGTAGTCTTAGGTGGATTGCACTTGGCTTTTCATCTTGATGTGGTTTTAACTTGCTCTCAATACTTAGAGTGTACACTGGCCCAAGGGGGACATAACTCCACAGCTTGTCAAGGGAGAGCTTGCACCTGGGGCTTCCATTCTGCACTCTGCTCCTGTGAATGAATAATGTGAAAGTGCTGAAAGTTCACTGGGAGGCCTCAGGACTGCGACTGCCTTTCATGCAGCTGGGTGCTGAAAAGGCTCTGTTGCACTCTATGGAGTGCTCTCCACCTCTTTTTAGATCTATCTGTAAATGGGTTACCGAGCATCTCAAAGAGGCCTCACCAGAGCGGAGAACTTGCATGCTTCATGTGCGAACTGCGCACACAGCTCACCGATTTCTTCATCACTTGCAGAATTGTTACAATCCTTGTAACAGCTACAGGAAGCTTCTAGGGGAACTACAAGGATGGAATTAATATTACATAAGACAATTCCTGAACAGCAGGCACACGTTTTGTGCTGCAGCTCTGTAATTCACCCATCTTGCTGCAGGCCAAACCACAGCCTACTTATCAGCACCATTTTCCTGTGTCTTGCAGGATCTCTACAGCAGCCCCTGCGTGTGGAGTTCACCCAAGCTGAGTGAGGCCCAGTAAGCCCCTTCCCATTTGAGCTCTGAAAGCAGAAAAGATGGACCAAAGAGTAAGGAAGGCTGATGAGATACAAGATTTTTTTTAAAGGCTTCTCCAGCCTTGCCCTCTCCCTCCTCTACAAAGCTCATGTAAGTCATATGGCAAAGCAAGATCCTTCCATCGTGGGGCTTTCTTACAGGCCTAGTTACGTGGGCAATGCATATGCCTGACACCTCCATAGAAGCGACCCCTGCAAAGCTTTCCACTAGATTATTTATCCTCAGCCAGGGCCTAACCATGTCCTAGCAACTACTGAAGTCTTCAGGGACAAAAAGGCCCCACTGTTACCTAAAATCCCATCTTTATCCCTTCTGCATCTCAAGAACTAAAGCACTTCAAATAGACCTGAAAGATAAGATTTTTTTTCTTACATATTTCTCACCAGTTTTCACATTACTTACGATTTTTGTATTTTATATTCTTACCTAGCCCACCAGTCATCCACAACTGCTGCACCATATTTTACCATTACAGTTCTCCACCGTATTTTCACACTACATCTCTCAATGAGCACATGGTACTTCAAAGCACCCCAGCCACTTCCCGGCGTGGGGTCACCAGGAGCAACCTGCCCCTCCGTACAGGCGGCCACTCGCACTCACTGTTGGAATGGGCCGGGAATGAGCAGCGACCACGGCGCCTCGCTCCCCCGCGCCGCCCCCAGGCCTGCCCGGCTCCATTTTCCAAACAGTCAGAGCCTCGCGGACAATTCAGGCGCCCCCCGACTGCCGTTTCGGAAGCGCTAAGCTTCCTGACGGACCCGATTCATCTTCCCCCCAACACAACGCAGTGGGCGGTTGCCCGAACCCCGCGGGAGACACACGCAGCAAAGACTCGGTGCCTGATCCCGGGAGCCCCTAGCGACCCCTCCCCTCGGGAAGAGCGCGGGGACGAGGAGCGCCCATGCCGGGGGTGCCACCTCCCGCAGCGCTGCCGCATCCGCGCGGCCCCGGCACCGCCCGCCGCTCACCTCCACGAAGTAGAAGCAGGGCAGGAGGGTGACGCTGTCCTTGGTCACCTTGCCCTTCTGCCGCTCCTTGGCGGACATGCTGCCGGGAGC